CGACGCGCCTCCTCCCGACGACCCCGCTTTCGTCAAAACGGGCGGGGGATCATGAGCGTGTTGGCCAAAGCGTATAAAATCGGGGATACCTTGGGACGTAGCAAACGGTATAAACGCATGGGAGCCAAAGGGGCCACGGGTCATTATCGACGTCACCCTCGACCGTGGGAAGGATGATCCGACACCCCAGTAGTGTGATTGTGGCTGGCCCGTCGGGCAGTGGCAAGAGCGAGTTAGTGGAACAATGGTTACGGTACCTCAACGTGTTTCAAGTCAAACCCCACAAGATCGTCTATGCGTACGACCGATGGCAACCCCGGTTTGATCGTATGCAAAAGAAGGATGGGATTCAGTTTCATCGCGGGTTACCGGACCCCCGTCATTTGACCCAATGGTTTGGCCGGACGCGCGGCGGAGTGCTCGTCTTGGACGATTTGATGGAAGAAGGGGGACAGGACAAACGCGTGTTGGATTTGTTCACCAAAGATTCCCATCATCGCAACATCACCGTCTTGTATTTGACGCAAGATTTATTCCCGCCTCGCAAATTTTCCAAGACCATTAATCGCAACGCGCATTACATTGTGGCCTTCAAGAATCCCCGGGATCAAACGGGCATACGCACCATTTTACTGCAAGCCTTTCCCGACCGATGGCGTCAAGTCTTGCGCCTATTTAAACGCATCACGTCCCGTCCCTTTGGCTATTTGATGTTGGATGTGCATCCCGCCTCGGATGATCGGTACCGCTTGTGGAGTCATTTAACGCGCCGAGAAGGCAAGGCGCAAGTCCATACCCTTCCCGTGGATGTCCCTGCCGTTCGAAAACGAGCTGCAACGAGAACTCGCCAGGGTCCGTCGGCAAAGAGAAGGCGGACAACAACGTGACTTGTCGGTCCGCATGGACACCCCGACGTTCTCGCCCGCCGGGGTGGGGTCGCCCACCGCCCCTCCCCCAGATCTCAGTACCATGACGGACATGGTCGCGGAATTGACCCAACCCGTGAATCGAGCCCAATTGGATCAAGAGATTGAGGATTTTAACTTGACCTACCCGGTCAATGTGGACGATGCCCTGAATGCGTTTACCTTACCCCCCGTGGCAGGCACAGGCACTACCACCACGGCACCGCCACCGCCACCACCACCCACCATCACCACCGCTCCCGCCACGACAGCCACCCAAACCCGTCCCACCACGTCCACCCGCACACGTCCTACGGCCACTACCACCACCACCAGCTCCAGACGACCCAGACCACGCCCTGTCACCACCGCCACGACTACCACGGCTCCCTCCCGCCCCTCCACCGCCCGACGCAGTGCTGGAGCCGGTACCAGGACCACCACTTCCACGGTGACGACCCCGACTGGTCGTCCCACTGTGGCCGCCAAACAACCGCGACGACGTCCCCGCGTGCCCTCTCCACCGTCCCCCGATTCCTCCCCTCCGTCGGAGGACGAGGATGAAGATGATGATGACGATGATCGACGGCGAGGATTAAGACGACGGTTGGATTTGTTGAATGAAGATGCTCAAGAACGGGCTCGAGGGAGACGCATTCGCAATATCACGCATACCAATACCGTCACCACCGTGTATGAAGAGGGAGGCCGACCGTTCGTGCGCCGCACGTCGACGCGAACCTCCAGTCCAAGTCCGCCCCCTGCACCACCCCGCCGAGGCCGTGGCCGTGGCCGTGGCCGAGCCCGTGGACGGGGTCGACGCCCGTGAACAAAAAGATATAAAACCAGGATCCTTCCTTCCACTGTCCCAAAACCATGTGTGGCTGATGTCGAAGCGGGATGGCCCCTCGACGCAAACGCAAACGCACCACGACCCGACGTCGATCCCCCGCCAAACGACGAAGAGGTCAAGTAGTGGGTGTCGGGCCCGGCCTGCCTCTCGGGATTCTCAAAGCTGGATATGGGATCACCAAAGCCATCGGGGATCATCAGCAAAAGCGAGCCCAAGCCATTATTGACAAACGCACGCGAGAGTGGGAATCTGGCAAACGGAAACGCTATGCGGGGGAATCGTTTGTTTGTTCCATTATGTGAAAAAAGTATAAAAGACAAGAGGCGTGTCTTTCGTTGGACAGACAAGGGATTATCATGCCTTGTGGTCCACGACGACGAACACGACGCCGACAGCAACGAGGGGGTATTCTCCCGCTCCTCCTCCCTATTGCCGTCGGGGCAGCCATCGCCTTGAAAAAAAAGAAAAAGAAAAAAGTGGGCAAGATCAGTGCC